GAAAACATAGATTAGACGGATAGTCATCCATAAACAAGATTTTATCAAGATTGGATAGCTACGACCTCTCACGGCTGTACGCCGAGCGCCCGAAAAAGGTCATCCCACGTTTTGGAGGTGCCCGCAGAAAGGCTGAAAAGGTCACGTAGTCCCGGTAGAAATCGGGCTGTGTTAGGCGCCGTCTGGAAGAGAATTGGTTGGCCAACACCATGAAATTAATCAGCCTAGACTAGGAAAGGTGTGAAATTTTTAAACCATTTGTGAAATGGGATCTGCATCCCAGAACAGATGGGTCGAGTCACGTTTCGAAGCTGGTCCGTTCCATTTTCAATCTTACGGTAATTTTGGAAATGCTTTCAGTGCAAAAACTTTAAATGCAAAAGTTGCTGGACACATACGCTGATCATAAAAAACTAAAATTCGATTTTAATTCTAGACGGGTGGCTTGTAGTAATTTTAGGGGAAAAATTGTCCGAACTTGGCGTGGCCAGGCTGTAACATGCAGAAAAGATCGTGATTCCGCGTGGACGGTGGCAGGCGTTTCGGGACTTCCGGGATCGTCCGCCTCAACGGCGGTGGTCCATAATGTTGCGCCGCTGACCCGCGCAGAAAGTTACAGTATATTCTCCATCATTTTCCATTTTGGCCTGCCTGTTTCCGCCCCACACGGAGTACATCGGCAGGATCGGAGTACATCGGCTCCTTGCCCTTTAGCTTACTACAGTAGCCAAATTAAATACATTTTGTCTGTAGAGTTATGTATTTACAGATGCAGGTACATGAAAAAATGCCTGCGCTAATGGACACTAATTAAAATGATTCCAAGTTAAACATTGAAAACAATGACTAACATCGTTACTGGTAATCTTAGGACGCGTAGTTCCCAGTACGTACACGCTGCTGGATTTCCTCTAACTGGTAACGTTAACTACCGCTAAACTTGAGGGCTTTGACCCCGTACATAACACGAAATTCGTGTACATCCACGGGAACTTCGCTGTCGCGCACTACCAAGCGCTTTTTTGTATTGCTTCGTCATATTTTGAAGCCAAAAGATTTGTATACGTAGGCGTGAAAATCGTTTGCAAGCGCGACATCCGTTTTCGAGGCCCGACATCTGCCTCGAAAGCGCCGTAAAACGAGGCTCCCCGGCCCGTTAGCGTTATGCATTGAATGCAATGCGAGCACGGCTACGTGACAAGTCGCCGCGGGACATTTCGTCGGGGACGCTTCGTTTAGAGGACTTCTGGTCGGGAGACAACTGGTATTAGGACCTTTCGTTGTACGGTCATTTCGTTTCCGGGTGTTTCGTTAACGTGACAATTTGCATCAAAGCTGCTCGTTGCCAGACTGGGACACTTCGCCGCATGGACTTTTCGTTGCATGGACTTATCGTTGCATAAAATTTGTTTGTATATTTCAATCGAAAATAATAATAAAATCAAATATACTTCGATAAAACTCAGTAAATAAGAGGCATGTAAAAGTGTTATTAATAACAGCATAGCTCAACACATTTAAGATTTAGCAAACATGCGTTGAACTTACTTTCCAAAGTATTCATGTGATAAATATAAATTAATCACTTTCCAATTCCCTTTACGGCTACTCGTAGTTGTAGAAAAACTGTATTAGGCCATGCTGAGAAGAACCGATGAAAACTACACTTATATTTATTAAATAAATGTAAATGATCAACTCTCAGCAGTACTCGCTGGGCAGGACGAGCAGATTTTACATTTAGAATACAAATATTCGGCTACAAGCGCTGTTAGTCTGCAGGTACTCTTTTGATTTGATTAATTTGCCATAGCAGCATTGACTTATCATTGACTTGCCTTAGCAGCATTCGCATTAGCAGCCTTAGCAGCCTCGTATAAGGAAAGAAATCGGTCTGGTTTTACTTTACTTCCATGATCATCGTCCTTTGTGTGTTATCTGTGTCAATGTGGAAACGGAGAGATGGGTTCGGTCTAGCCCCTATAGCACATGATCAAAAATTGTGATGGGAACTGGAACGACGACTTTTTCTTTCAGATTTATTGGCTATCCAACTGGCCTGCCGGCGAAGTGTCTGACCGCGATCTTTCCGTGTTACCGGATGTCTCGCGACCAAATGTCTCCCGACCAAGTTGACTAGCAACGACTTGTCCAGAAACTAAATGTCCATGCGACCAAATGTGGCCGACGAAGTGTCCCGCGACGAGATTTTATGCGGACTTGGTCGGTCACGGCGAGCACTGAGCTCATTGCACTCGCACTTAGGCCGTATCTGTATTCTGTACAGCCATATACCGGTAATACCGAGAACGTAACTGTAATTGCGTAATACAGTACAATACTGCAACCCGCAGCTACCCGATGACAGCAATATCAAACAGCATGAATCACTTAAGACGATGAGTACATTAATAATTGTTTTCTTATTTCTTGCTGCTGTGTTTGCTTGCCAGCTGCAGATCAGAAGCGCTTTCCACGAAGTGCCCGTACTTCTTCTCGAGTAACCAGCAAGAAACCCAGTGATTATGTACATCCACTTTTGTTTTGGCCTCCGGAAACGGAAGCCATGCAACGCTCCTAAGCATTTTTGTTATGAAGTCACCACATTTACAAGAAATCGCGCTTTCATATGACAATATGTGTAACACAGCGGGATTTGTCTAATTTCATCTTTTAACATACTTTAAGTGCATTTACGAGTGCAGAGGACTACAACGTCATGAACTGGCAGAACTGGAAAAAACGTTTTTACAGTTATACTGTACTAAAATATCACGCGTGAATCGGCGTGATCTTCATGCATATGTGCGTTTACCGGTATACGCAAAATTCAAAGGTAATCGCTCCAGAATAAGACTCTTGGCACACCTGAATGCATTTAAACTTTTTGGAATTTTCTCAAGTCGTAACTCCCGAACCGGATGTTGCGCGCACGCCGCGCACAAGCGGTTTTTATGCTTGTGTACAGTGTTTACAAATCATCTGGGCACAGAATGTCATAAAACAAAGCGAAAGCGGAGAAACCTTGGTGTTCTATAAAAGAAAAAAAAATAGTAACAAAAACTTAGATCTGAGCTTTCCAAAACATCTTCCGACACAGTTATAAACACTGGTATGTCTTATACTACAATTTAGCAGTTGATACTTATTCAGTAAGTTATAAGCAATCGTCGAAACTACTTCATCAAACGCGAACCAGCACTAGAAAAATGCTGTTCGAAAAAGGACCATAAAAAATTGTAAAAGTGCGTTTTTCCTATTCTTCACAGAAATTTTTAATTTACTTCTTATCGATGATTTACATCATCGCTTACGGAAGAAGAAATATATATTAATTATGTACACGTATTGGGTATAACATCAAATTACAGGGCGTTAAAATAGAAAGTTACGGTTGGAAATGTCTTTTGGATATTCTTTATATGCGTGACATGTTTCTCATTAAAATTTACAAAAAGAACTTTGAAACAAGCCAGTCATTGGCCGATTGATATGTACAGTTTAAGTCGCACGTTCGTTTTTTCTGAATCCGCTCGGTCGTATGACTCATATCACTCACAGCGTGATTGTTGTGCCACTGTTGTACACAAATAAGAGCAAAACAACAGAGAAACCACAAAACAAAGACAAGAAACTCCGGTTAAGTCACTGCAAATGCAATTTGACCGGCTTAGAACTGGCTGAACAACAGCCGCGGGTTGGCTTAATCACTTCGTGCGTCCGAAACATTTCTGGCAAGCCGGTTGTATTAGCGGACCAGCGCTATCGCTTTCGTCGTATCGCAACAGCAAATCCACTTACGTTTATTGGCTGTTTTCGCTGTTATGGCCGATATTGATTGCATTGTAAGGATGATTCAGGCAAATGCCTTCCGCTTACCATCGGGTGGAATTTTGTCAAAACAACTGTCTAGGTAGTATAAAAACTCCGCATCTCCTGGCAGTTGAAGCAAGCAAGCTATCTGTAAATTGATTTACTTTTGCAAGTTTAATTGCCGCACGATCTGTGTTTTATCGAGGCGCTTCGTTAACCGCTAAAATTACAATGAAGCGTTTCCTGGCTGCTGCTCTCGGCGTGCTCGTGTTGGCCGCGCTGGCTGTGGACGCGGCGCAGAAATGCCAGAAGATCACCATCGACACCCAAGTCAATCCTTCCTTCAAGAACAAGGAGCCACCGGGCAGTCTGCGCAAGACCTCCATGCGCTGGGTGAAGAAGGAGGTGACCTGCAAGAGCGCCGGCGACTGTCCCAAGCCGGCCGGCGCCTTCAAGTGCGTCGCCGGCGAGATCGACATCCACAACTGGAGCGAAGGGGACATTGTCGATCTGGCCAAGTACCGCCAAATCAACCTCAAGAAGAACACCAACGGCGTGCTCTGCTGCGCCAAGAAATGACCGCACCGCCACTGACACAGCGGACGGCGTAGAGGGTTACACCAAGTGTGACCTTTCCGCGTGACGTGACGTCAGCGATATCCGCTCTCAACCTGTGACTTATTGTTAATTGTGCTTTTGTGTGTGTAAGCGATAAGTGTACGTACTGTGTACTTGAGACCTGTGCGTGGTTCTTATTAATAAAAGCAGTCAATCGTATCGACCGTAACCGGGGTTGCGATGAGTGGGCACAAGCAACAAAAACCAACAACAAGAGCACGAACGAGGGAAACCGAAACATAGCGGAAATGCCGCTAACGTTGTTCACATTAACTTACGCGGATAGCAATGTCTTACACCAACTTGCATAGACTTACATTAACAGTTACTTACGTTGACTTACGTTACTCAAGTTTCTTACATAAGCTTACACGGACAACAATAATGTCTTAAAAGAAATTGCATGGATTTACGTCAACTTACATAGACTGACGTAGCTGATATGACCGCGCAAATCTATCGCGCAAAAACTGTAAACGAAACTTGCCATATCGAGTGTACGTGTACTTCAGCCCTGTATTTGACACAGGTCATGCATGGCAAACAGGATCTGAAATATTTTTCGATTTCGAGAAATATTTATTACCAAAAATAGTGCAGTTAATTGTCAACGTATAGCATAAAGAAATCAAGGCGCAGTAGTAATTAAGAAGGCAACTAATAAAGCAGCACTACGCGAGCGGAATATCGGACAGAACAAGCTTCGTGAACGCTTCACAGGAACTGCCACCCGGTGCGGCGGCCGCTTTCACCATGCGGCTGACCTCCGCCGCTTTCCGCGCATAATCGCCGTCCCCAAAGTTCCGCTCCCACTGCCCGACCGTGGTGACTGCCTCCGCAATCTCCGCCGCCGGCACCGTGCGGGAATGCAGTGCGCCGGTGTCCGGGATGGTCCGGCCGTTGCCCAGCCGTTGCGCCATGTCGGCGTTGGCGAACTGGTCGCCGAACATGGGCCAGCACACCAACGGCACGCCGGCGTCGAAGGTCTCTAGCAGGCTGTTGTATCCCACGTGACTTACGAAGAGCCGCGTTGCCGGGTGGTTAAGGATGCTACGCTGCGGCGTCCATGCCAACACCAGATATTTACTAGATGCGGATTGGCCGGCGATGGAAGCCTGCATTTCCGGTGGGAGGAGCTTCTGCTGATGGGATTTCAAGGACCAAATAAAAGGCTTATTCAGCGACAACAACGCCTTGGCGATTTCTGCAGTATAAACGAATGCAATCTAAGAAACCTAAGAAATCTAAGGAATGCCGGTTACCGTGGAGTTGTTCGTTCTGGGACACGGCGAACGAGCCGAAGCTGACGTAGACTACACTGCGCTCACCCTGCGCATCCAGCCACTCCCCGACGAGGTTCCCGTGACCTTTACCGGCTTCGTCGGCGAACAGCGGCGCCACAAACCGCACGGGCTTTCCGGCCGTCTTCCGGTGCGTGGCCATGGTGCGGACGACCTCCGGTTCTAGCTCCTCGATGGAATTGACGATAAACCCGGCGAGGGCGTCCAGACCCGGGAACAGCTCCCCGTCGCAGTCCATGCACATCTCCTTAAACGCCCGCGGAACCCCGCTGACCGCGAGATCGGGGTGGGCCTCCCAGTCCGAGAAGAAGGCGGCGTCCGGGAGCGCCGGGGTGTCTTGGTTAACGTTCAGCTTGTTGGAAAAGATCAGTCCGGAGGAGTTAAAGACGAAGCAGCGAATCCCGCGGGGATGCAGAAGGGGCAGGGATTCGCGCAGCGCGATGACGTCCATGATGGCGACGTCGACCGGCCGCTGCAGGGGGCGGTCCAGCAGCGCCCGGTAGTCGTCGCCAAGTGCGTCGGGGGACGCGGAGCTCGGGAGGGTCCGGAAGAGCTTCGTCATGAAGGGGAAGGTCTTCTCGCCCACCTCCAGCATCTGTTGGAAGGTGCCCTCGGTGTCGTCGCTCTCCTGGAGGGCGTCCAGGAGCCCCACCAGCTGGATGGACGCCTCGTCGGCCGCGGTGAAGATGCCGCGTTGGCGCAGTTGCTGGACGCGCAGCGCGGAGGTGACGAACGTCACGTCGTGGTGGGGCGCCATCTTCCGGGCTAACTGCAGCAGCGGACTGATGTGTCCGAATAATGGATACGGAAACAGTAATACATGTTGCCGAGGCGGCGACATCCTGGGTAATTCCAATAACGGGATCGGGAAAGATTATAACGAACGCGCTCAACGTATAGCACAGTTTAATATATTCATAATTTATATGGAAATTAACGGAAATTAACGAAAGAAGCACGGCCAAAGTAAATGTGTGTATATGTAGGCGAGTGAAGAAAGTCTGCTTGCACTACTTTCGCAAAGTGGCAGTTTGTGGTGGTTTTCTGCACACCACGCAGATTTAACTTTTGTACTTTGTCTGTTTGCGAGATATTTCACGTGTCTGCGAGTGAGTGTGCGATACGATCAGGTCTGCCTTGTCAGTTTCTCTTAAACCGGTTCTTCACGTGACACTGACGTTATGCACAAGTGCCGCTTAAGGCACAGCGTACAGCAAGAGGATGAGAATGATAGCCGGTACTTGTGCATTGAAATGTTGTTCTACTTCTAACCACTTACCAAAACACGAACAAGTGCCAAAACACTCTGGTACGGCTTTTTCTTCCGTATGTAAGAATTTCATTGCAGATAAGTTATGCTGATGTCACGTAATGCAGAGATAATTGTCTTGATATTTCTGCAATACATAGCTCGCGGCAGAGTTTTGACGAGGAAGATGTTCGCATGCGGCAAATCAGCGATGGAACACGAGGGCGCTGCAGACGTTAACCTTTACTGGCGTCAACTCACTCAACTGCATCGTGGTCGAGCTGGTTGTTCACGTTGCCGGTATGTTTGCGGAATGCGCGGACATTATGGGAGATGACCCGGCATCTGTAGTTACATCGGATCATTTTCGTACTCATCTACCGCAGGGAAAGGCTGTTCTGGTAGTTTTTCCATCCAGTGTCTTGATCTTGGTTTCTAGACCTACAGACACTGGCCAAGAAATTACTGAAACGTTTTGGCTGGAAAATACTTTAATGGTGATCAATACGTTATTGAAGAAAGTAATGCATGAGTAACTATCAAAGAAGATCGGGTAATAACCAGACTTTTGGTGCACACCAATGCATTCAAACTTTTCACTCATTGTGCGCCATATCTCGGCAACCGGATGTTGCGCGCGCAAACGGTTTTCCTAACGATTTATACAAATCATTTGGCTTTAGAATGACATAAAGCATTACAAAAAAGTGATTCAAAGTGCGCGAAAGCGAACATTTTAGTGTATGTATCCCATTTTTGACGCTATGTACCGGGTCCTTGTCCTCAAGCACATCATATACTGCACCGAGCCCGCGTCCATTTCAGCCGTACAAGGTATTAGATTTGTGGAATGGAAACTGTTACACCGTCACCGCGCATTTCAAAGTCCCAGACAAATGTGTTGCTCTTAACGAAAGCTTGGTGTAGAATCTTGTCTCGTTCACAATTCCGCTGCAGCTGGCGCGCTTTTTTGACAATTCCGCCTCGGAAGAAAGCATATAAGAATGCAACCTAAGAAAAATTTCGAAAATTTTGTAATATTTTACGAATAATTTATTTAATTTAAATATACTTGTGTACGATACTACGATATCCTGTAGTTCAGCTGCAGCCAGCTGGATCCAACCAGTGCGGTGCGCTGTTACTGCTGGTAATCCGAAACGTGAAGCCACTTCTCTTTGGACCTTCTCAATCTCGTAAGAACGTTTCCACTTTCCAGACACGGTGCCGGTAATGCATTAGCCATGCCCCCAGATTAGAGATGGCACCGGCTTAGCCGGCTACTGGCCAGCCGGCCGACGGTTTTTGCAAGCCGTAGCCGACGTCAGGCCGGCTGTAAATACGGCTGAGACTTCAGCCAGCTGCGGCAATACGGCGGCCGTCGCTGAAGCAGCGAACGGCGGCATCGTTGTGCAATTTTTGGCGGTAAAGATGGCGCCACACAGTCACTTTGCATCACATTTTCTTCGGCTTGCGCCTAATTTCTGTCGATTTCGCTCGTGATAATTCCCGAATAACCGCTGTTTTTTGCTTCCAACGTTTTCGAAAACCGTTTTTCACAACATATACGGAACTACAATTTTTTTGGCGAGCATTTGCAGCACTTTGCAGCATTTATTTTAAAAAATAAGGTTAGCCGGCTAGGGCTTTTGCCGGCGATGGCCAGGTCATCCGTTTAGCCGGCCGTTGCCATCTCTACCCCAGATTTTGTGCTAAATGCGGTTAACAGCACGCTTATTTCCGACCGTTGATAACATCAATTCCGATACGTCTCTGTCAAATTAATTAAAGTCGCTAAATAGCATGTTATTAATTAATGATGCTACATAACTTTCCTCCGAAATGTTTTGTTTTCATTTTGATCGCCATAATGCCACTACATATCTTCATCTACCGTGTGCTAAAACTTTCGGTATGATCCTGGCGGGAAGTTTCGGAAATCGTAACTGGAGGTAAAACGTTATGCACGGCCTTGACGGGCGATAACATAGACAGTAGATGCAATAATCAACAGAATTTGTCCTCAATATGACTGTCAGCAAAGCAGCTCGTACGATATTGTTTTTTATCGCTTTCCTCGTGACTCTCTCGCAATGAGCATTCAGTTTCGAAAACTGCCCCACGTATCACCGAGTGGCGCGATGCATAAATAAGTAAGGTCGTTGTTTTCGCACTCTCCTGTAGCTGGTCCTGTGTGTGTGATCAGAGAGGTCAAAAGTCTTAATTTATTTAGTTTTCCGGTCCACGCTGCCGATGACAAACCTTCTGTGAGTAACTAAACATAACAAATAAGACCAGAACAGAACAGAACAGAACAGAACAGAACAGAACAGAACAGAACAGAACAGAACAGAACAGAACAGAACAGAACAGAACAGAACAGAACAGAACAGAACAGAACAGAACAGAACAGAACAGAACAGAACAGAACAGAACAGAACAGAACAGAACAGAACAAATAGACATTTTATCTAACAAAGTAAACCGCCTGACGCATCGCCACCTAGGTTATGTATCAGATTTTGACCTGGCAAAACCAGTAAACATTCTTATGGAGCAGCTATTTTATTAATCTGATCGAATGTTGGCGGTGGGCATTGGCAAAGATCAAAGGTAAAACCTTTTCCGGTAGCGGTATGCACAAATGTCATGTTTGTTCGGTATTTGTCATCGATTTCGCCGCTTTCACTTTCGATAAGGTGGCGCCGTTTTGCTTGCTGCTGCTGACTACACCGCTGCAATAAAAAGGAACGCGGGGCATGCGTTCCAGCTGCATTTACTTTTCTTGTTGTTGCGGCATTTTGCCGATTGCTATGAGCAGGAGCTGTACATATTAAGTTCATAACCATCCCCTAGTCATCAGAATAACGACCACACACGGTATGTTTTCCTTTCTTTCGCGCACTCTGCCGTTCCTCGGCTGTATATAAGACCGGCAGGCCTTTTTCCAGGCGTTGAAAATACTTGTAATTGTGTCGTTCCTGCATGAGCAAGTACGAAGTGCGCATCGCTCGTATTGCTGTCTGCATATATTCGAGCCCAAACCCACGCACATAATTATGTAGGTATAAAATACGGAAGTACTAGTACCTGTTTTGTTATTTGCAGGCCTACAATACATGAAAGGAAATTAACAATGCACGGACGCGTTGAACGCGTTAGATTGGCACAGCGATGACTGCGTCAAATTTCTATCTCGTCAGAATGAAAGCACAGTCCTTTCTCGAAATGAAGGTGCTTTCGTTCTGACGCGACTGAAATTTTTGATAAGATTTTCTGACGTCGAACTGATGTACTGGACACCATACGGGTGGTGTCCACCATACGGTAGTGGACACCACTTTTAGATACTCGTACGTCTGAGGTATTTGCTGATAAGTAGTGGAGTGATAGAGGAAACTGGTAGAAACAGAAGTCAAACGGGCATAGGCCGCAGCCACGCAGTCGCAGTGTGGGCAGTGGAACATGAGTAATAATGCACTCGCGATGCCGGCATAATTAATCGCTCGGCATATTTAAACGCAAAATAATGAGCGCGCTCAGTTTCGTGCAGGAGCAGCGTCGACTCGATCACGATGACTACATATCCAATCATTACAAAGTGACATCCTGTCGAAGTGTCGGGGGTCAGCCGAATTGCAAAGGTTTCACTTAAATGGCCTTCCTTACGACCGCCAAACCTCCAGCCCATAATGCATGCATGATCATGCATTACGGCCCAGAAGTATGGAGTTCCAGCCATCAATAATCCGGCCATCATGCCGAATGGTCATGTAGTTCCCGCGCCCACAAGGATGGGACAAAGGTATCTCGAAAAATCGAACAGACAAGCAAACGGAACGAGAGTAACAATTATTAATAAAATATATGGATATTGTGTCCTCTAAGGAACCATCACACTTCCCGTCGTATTACTCATTAGACTGACACACGATGTTCAAACTTCAAAGAATACATGTTACTGACACGGCTTTAAGTACCACACAGGGAACGGTAAACACACTCACTGACACAAAGCTTAGCCCGTATGTATCTTAGTAGGGATCGGTGTACTGGGTGCATAAGATCAGATATCAGCTACACATTCGCAATGAATAATGCTAATATAATTTCTAAGAAATTATGAGTTACGGTAGTATCTCTACAATATCCCTCTTTGTGTAGAATAAAATCGAACCCCTGATTAAGAAAGAGAGCATCCGGCTAACCCGTCGCCACACTTCCTCGACAGACGCCAGTGCGGCGCCCAGCGGATCCACCATGGCCGTAGACGTGGATGACTGCGTCGTCACAAGGGAATTAGGGAATCCTTTTGGAGTTACAAAACTCGCTACAAACTTCGCCAGCAGCAGTGGCTTCCCGGAGACCAACATGCTGACCATTAACAAAAAAAACCCCGCCATGTTCTCCGTCCGCCGCTTCCCGTTTTCGCCGGGATTCGCCGGCGACATCGGTTCCCCATCGGATTGCGTCTCCACGCGATCAATCATGCCATCCAGGCTTTTTCCGGTATCAGCAGGCTCTACCCACTGGGCGGTACATTACGCCAGATCATTGGAAAGATCACCAGCACGAACATCACCAGAACAACATTTGACGACAACCGGCTGTGTGGTGATGACGAGGACGCGAGGCAGGGGGTCGATATTCAATGCAGAGCAG